CCTGACACAGCATTAAGCGCAATATTAATTTGCCTCTAGTGCTTCTGATACTTGCCCGTTGCGTGCAGAACTAGCACAGACACCTTTAGATTTAAGAGAAAAATTAATCCTGTGTGGAGAAAACTACAGAACTTTTAAAGGATTTTGTCATTTGGTGTCTCTGGGTTTTGGAGGTCAGATAGATGCATTGTTTCAATATTGGAGTTGTACATCACAAAATACTCCTAGGAAAAGTCAGCAATTGGGATGCAAAAGCTTCTAGGTTATTTTATGTAGTTCTGATAAATCCACTGCCCTCCATCAAGGCTGCAGAGGTAGATATAAAATAGAGTTCAGATGGAGCAGGTGAGTCAATTAAATTGAGAAAAACGTAGTTGAAGAGTTTTTAGATTCAGTTTTTGGTTTTGGTATCATGGAATATTGGTAGGAAGAATAACAGATCCAGTCTTTACCTTAGTCATTTTTTGGGGGGGGTCTGTGTGTGTGTGCTGTTAGAAATGTGGGAAATAGACGTTGTGTTTGAAAGTTTAAGGCATTCAGGTGGATTATTTAAACCCTTTCAGTTTCAACAAAGCTCAATCAAATTTTGGCAGTAGACTTCTTCCATAACACGAGTGATGGGAGAGGCTGAAGGCCATTCTATTACTTGGAATGAAACTGAAATATCAGGCAGAAGAAACATGATAATTTTATGTTCAGATGCTTCAGGAGTTTCAATCAAAAATCTAAACATACTTCAGTATAAAAACTTCTGTGCAAGACCTGCTAGGATGAACCTTATGGTTTACCCACTTTTACCATCTCCCCTCCCTCCCAAATATTTCTCATGGAAAATTAGGTGGAAGAAATCTTATGATGCCCACTGATTCTGGTGTTTTATTGTAATAATGTGGCTTGATGGTCCCAAATTTTTTTCTGAAGTGTTCTGTGAAAGCATTGAGAATTTGTAGTCATTGGTACTGTCACGTCCCACCTGGGGAGGAGGGGGGAGGAGTGACAAAGATTCGCAAATCCTCTCAGTGTGGATTAAGGTGGGCCAACACTCAAGGTCCGTACACAAACACCAGCTTTAATAGAAAGCTTCTATAGAGACAAATATTGAGTACAAATATTTGATACCCGCCAACCCTCTCACAGTTATATTCAGCCCAGCTATGCAGTTTTACAGAAAATCAAGGTAGGCCATGCAGTACTTGACTTCAATTTAACAACTTTAACAACTTAATCACCTTAGGAAAAGTGAAACAAA